TGCCATAGGGCTCCGTCAGCCGACCGCCAGGCTGGAAATATGTGGACCCTGTCAAGCCGGCTGGACATTGAGGGATCCAGTTGGGCTGTTGAGACCATTGGTTGACCATTGGTTGCACGCAGTGAGTAGACGTGAGTAGCGGATGGTCATGCTTTCCAAATTTGAGCGGCAAAGATTGACTATTATAACATATAGACAACTTCAGTCGGACACCCCCAAGTCAGGGACAAACGTTTCATGGCGCCCAAAAGTGAGCGTGATACCGATCCATTTGTGGATGTTCAGTTCTGCTTCGAGGGCATTTGCACGTGACTGGACAAATTATTAAGCTCGGGTGTCTGACTTACTCTGAGTTACAGTAGTTTGCCCAGGTCGAGCAACAGGCTTCCCTCGAATATTCTGACAACCGACGTTGGCGATGCATATGACAGGCATCTTCCAGACATGGCTGCTGCTGGACCCCTGGAGCGCCTACGGGAGCCAGATCAGGAGTCAGGCTTGATCCAATTCATGGGTGTTGCAAAGTCGTGTCAGTCGGGTGTTGCTAAGCGGGCGAGGAGAATTGACAATTGAAAAGAACAACACGCAGTTGCATCCCTTTGTGAATGCTTGGTATGAGCACATGTGGATTTGGCAAGGATCTTGATGCTTCAAGTGGTGTGAGATATCTAGCTTGCTTGGGTTGATGCTGAAACGTGAGGTACCCCAGCCATCCCATGTTGAAGCAGTGCATTATTAGCCTGCTTTGGTCTTGTCGCTCCACAAAAAGCTACCAAGATGGGAGGTTGTCATGACGTGTAAACCAGCGGATCATCCTGCAGCGTGATGCTTGGACAGCTGCAAAACAAGCTTGGATTATACAACCAACGTCGAGCAACACTGCTTTTGAGCTGTGAGTGTGTAAGAACGCTTAACAGCACACATGTGCACGTATACAGATGGCTAGCGTGTCTTGGATTAGCAGCCAAGGGTGCATGATCCATTCTCTGAAATTCTCTGAAACTTTGGCATGTCGCTGCTGCCTTTCCAGAAACACAATCGCAGTGCTTTTGATCAGTTTCCCACCCGCATGCCGCCCTTCATTCGCCAAGGCCTTTGCGGGCCAAAGTGTGCGTCCCACATGCGGCTCAATGTTGAACATCTCTTTGGGCGTTTGCAGGCCCCATCAGAGCAGTCATAGACCTGTATGTTTTATGACTCTTCAGGGTGTATATCATAGAGGCCAAGTTGTGTGTGTGTGGTGTTTGAAATTCAATGGTCGACCGCTAATGCCATCTTGTTGCGCTACGGCCCGTTCTACGCTCACAGGCAAGGTCTTGGAGCAAACCAAACCGGGCGACTGCCAAGAGTTGAGGATGTGCACAAACGAGTTACCAAGGGGTGTGCAGGACATCAGACTTTGCCTGAGGGGGATATGTGTATGGTTCGCTTCCCTTGCGTGACACGCTGAGAACAGCAATCTCCGCTAGTCAGCCGCCAGCAAACAGAACGCGTCCAGCTGCCGTGTGTGGCCCTTGCCCTTTTCACCGCAATCCCAGAAGCAGCTAAGCATCAGCGAGTGGCACAAACCTTGGATGGTGCGGATTTTGCTTGCTATGGCCAAACATCTTCGTGCATGGGCAAAGTTGGTATGGCGCAGTGTCGGCGACGGCTTCTGATGTTGGGGCCGGCGATGGGTTGCACGCTCCATGACTGGAATCCTGACAGGTGGCAGAGAGGTTCCGACGAGTGCGGGGCCCAATCTGTCAGTTGTCCGCCTGACGGTCATTACTGGTACTAAAACATACTAAAACCATTTCTTGGGTAGCGATGGTGGCCTTGATGCGATTGCATCGATGGTAGCGATTTGTTTCTTTCGTCCACCAGGCATGTCCTCGTTTTGTTTGTGTGTCTGCTGTGCTGGCCCCCCTCTACAAAGAGCGCAGGTCGCCAAGCAACACAAAAAGTATGCGTCAAGTTGACATCCTTGACTGGACAAATGCTTCATGGGCAGCCTTTGCTCCGAGCTGCTGCTGTTGTAGCACCGTTCTGAGCCTTGTTAGCTCAAGGTTTTGAGAATAATCCCAATTCCCTTCGGCTGTTGGTTTCGTGAGGTCACAGGGATAGGTCTCTGTGTTTACCTTGTTTCCTTTGAATCTCGGATCCCATGCACATCACTTGCAGGCCTTTGCCGAGGTCTCGGTGGAGCTTCACAGTCCCGAGCCTGGTAATGAGTGATCAGGCTGAGAATTCGGTGTGTCAAACTTAATCCTTCTACTGCGCTCTTCATGCGTGCACCTCATGGGTGGCTTGATATCATAATCCTCGAAAGCTCAGTGCTTGATTCAAGATTTAGACAGTATCAAAATTAAATCGGATAAATACGTTCAACTTGCTCCACGTGGATAGAGGCCATGCAGGCGCAGGTTGTTCCCTTTCTGGGCAGATAGATGTCGCAATCGGGCTAAATTATGCATGTTTTGTGTTGAACTTGGAGTTCGATAGCGGCCAATTTGCCGTTGCCCCTTGGGATGACGTGTTGTTTGCGAGTTTCCTCGAGCGGGTAAACTGCAGTATTGAATTGAATCAGACTGAGCTTAGCCGTGGCCGTGCCGCTTTTGTTTGACACATTGGCGCATGCTTTCGAACTTGTGTGCTTGCAAGTTGGCTGGCTTATGTCGTGCATGCGCGCGCGCGCGTGCGTGCGTGCTTGCATGCCTGTGAGCTTGCGCGCTCGCGAACTTGCGTGCTTGCTTACTTGTCAGCTTTATGCATGATAAAAGCAGTTTCCAGCCCTAGGTCAGTGACTTGGTTCAAGAAATGGGCGAATTGGAGGAGAGCATTTGTTCGCAAGATGTTACATGTGCAACACACTGGAAGTCCAAGATGTTCCCTACGAGACATGGGTTGCCCATCAAATTCATTCTGCAGCGCAGCATATGGCAGTGGCTCAAAATTAAAGAGCTGGGGTTACGAAGGTTTTGGTCTATTTTTCCACTTACTAGGGTTCCATTTTGGGCGCGGTTGTTTGAGCCATACTCATATTGTTTCAAGCAGCTCTTTGGGGACCCACGTCATTGGACATGTTTGGGAGTCAGTGTTTGCAGTTTAGCGGACCAGTTCGCTGGAAATTGATTGTTTACTGAATCAATGACAGGGTTCCAGGAAGCGCTAAATGAAGTGGTTTCAGCGATTGTGGATGTGGATGACTGCTGGTCAGGACAGTTGGCAATGAAGAATTGAACATCATTGGATTTCCAACAGAGCTCTTCTTTTTCTTTGTCGTCGACGGGATACAGGCTTGGAGTACAGATGAGGACGTCGCGAAAGCCATCAAACATGCTATTCACATTTCACCCTACAAGGATGTGAGCAAAAATCCCCCCACTTTGAAACAAAATCTGCATCTCAACAATTGAGTGATCTATGAAAGCTAGGAGGCGAGGTTTGTGATGCGGAATTCTGCGTGTCGCCACGCGACCCCACATTAGTTTTTGTGGGAATCACCAGTCAGCTCCTGAAACGTAAGAAGCCCAGGCCCACGGATTTGCATCTCCCTGATGGAGGTGCAATGGCCAGCGCCAGAACTTGAATTACAGGATACCCAGCGTGAAGGTGCGAAAACGCTCTATGCACTATTTTCCTTGGGCAGATGTTTGTTGGTGTGAAGACACTGGTTGCAAAAGGGCCTTTCCCAAGCCGGTCAGTTTGACACCGGGTGCTGACTCAAGAGGACTTTCGACTCACAAGCTGGGTTCTAGGTTTGGGCGCTTTGCCAGAATTAGCCCAGGGGCTTGAAGCCAGGAGCCAATGGAAAGATTTGACGTACCAAAGAGTCAAACCTACTATGAATGCAAGCCTTAGAAGGTGCCTTGCTGTGCATCAACTGCCTATATACCACCAAAATGCAATGCCGGCTTTGCCCCTTCTTATCCACGTTGGTCGTTCCTTGTGCAAGACAAAGCGGATCAGTCTGGATCGTGCAATGCCTCACCAAGAATGCAGTGTCCGCTGCATTCAGGCGACTTCTTTTGAGCCATGGCACAATTGCTCCATCTTTGTCAATCCCGGATCTGGACCGTCTGCCCGCCTTCACTGTGGCTCCATTTCGGCAAGCCAGGGCTTAAGCCAGGCTAGGCTGAAGCAAGCCAGCTAGGTTTCAGGTTGTTTGGCCTCGTCTGATTTTTTTTGGCCCCAATGGTTTGTGCTCCCTCGAGGCCCCACCCAAAGCTGTCTCCTGAAGCAGCTCAAAGCCCGGCTTGCAGCTCAGCCCAAGCATCTGAGAGTTGAAGCTGAGAGGCCTCCGTGGAGCCATCACAGTGGACTTCTTCAGAGAAGGCGGGCACCGTCCCTCCGGAAAAGGGAGAAAGCGGTCAGTGGCGGACACGTTGCTTGAGGGTGTGTGTGTGCTTGTGCTCGTGTTTTTGCAAGTCAATGTGGATGAGAGAGCTGGAAGTGCTTTGCTTGACAGCCAGCAGGCCATAAGCATGAACACGTTTGGACGAGGCAGTGTGCCAATGTGACAGCCGAATCAAGCAAGTGAGACAGTTGGTTGCTCCATGCCCTTGTTTTGTCAAGGCGACTAAGGTTGGGAAACCTTGATTGGCAACAGGTTGTCCCTCTGAATCAAAGCATTGACATTTTCTTATGCTGTGTGTTGCCACTGAACGGTATCGTCCTCGGGCTGTGTTCATCAGCCGGCCCAAATCAACAATGGTTGAAGTTGACTGTGTGCTCCTCGCGGATGCCAATTAGTCATATAACCATCAGCAAACGAAAGCCCATGCATTTCCTCTGAAGTGGGCGCATGGCCGAGTCGTAAGATGAAATGCCTAAGATGAAATGTCAGATTCCTGGCCATGCGTGCTCCAATAGTCAGATCTGGCTAGCCCCACTCTGTTGGTGAGGAACGATGTCTGTGTCGACTTGTTCCATGTGAGAGCTCATGTCTACCATGTTCACGCTAGATATTGGCACCTGTGCCTGCAGCCGTTGAAGCCTGAATCGTGCCGTTGAGCCAGATGCCAGGACGGAGGTTTGGCGGCTTGTCATGGGCGAGCCGTTGCTTTTCAGGCTTAGAATGCTCCTTTCATCAAAGTGCCTGTAGCATGTCCAATGAAGCAGGCTTCCTCATGTTGGTCTTCTTGGTACCCTGCCAACTACAGTTTCCAAGGGTGATGTCAGGGGAACTGGGAAAAGTTGTCCTTTGTAGGGGAAATATCGGGAACCCCGTTCAATTTCAATGGCACGTTGCATCAATGGTCCTTGAAAGTTCCTTCAGCCAGCGGTATGACTCACCGCACGTCGCAGGACCCGTTGCATCCATCGGTGATCTCTTCACCTCCCTAGGCGCCGCGCCGCCGGTGCTGGGGGAGGAGTATGCGAAGCTGAAGGACGGGGGCGAAACGTTTCACCCAATTTGGGTGTGTCTTTTTGGCCCCTTTCCCCCTCCTCCAAATGCGCAAATGGTGGTTTTCCTCTTTTCCCTTTAAGACCGCCAAAAAAGGGGTGTCCTCAAAAATGACACACCCTTTTGGGAAAGGTAAGGTACCCTCCTCTAACATAGAATCTGCCTGCATCCTGAACACCATCTTCCTCCAAAGAGAACCCTTTGGTGGGTTCCATGTTAATGGACAGGAGGGTAAGTAATGCTGAGTTGGGATATGTGAGAACTACGGGCCCTTGCAGATGGAGTTCTTTCCGTCTCCCAGAAAGGCACGCAGAAGGGCCTTCCGATGGGTTTTGTTCTGCATTGCCGTGCTTTCAGAACTGCTCCAGTCTCTCGTCCATCCGGAACCGTTTCACTGTGGGCCACTGGAAACGGGTTGCAAAACACTTGGAGACCGCTTGGAGACCGCGCTACTTGGAAGCCACTTAGACTTAGACGCCACTTCGACAGCAGCACTTGGGCGTGTGAGCTCCAGGATGGGCTGCGACCAGACCCCGAGATCCTGCGCGCCGCTTTCGAGCGCCTGCGCCTGCGCCTGCGCGCGCTGCGTTTGGAGATGCAGGCGGCGCAGAGCGCTGCGGTGCCGCAGGCTGGACACCGGGACGGCACTTGCCTCGCTTTATGGAATCTCGGTCGGTAGGAAGGGGGGTGGGTAGTTGAGAGTTAAGAGGCTGTGGGTTCTGTAGGTCCTTAGAGTTTTGCAGGGTTCCTTCAGGGTGCCTTAGGGAGCCTGAGGGAATCCCCCCCCCCTTCAACCGCCCCTTAGGGACTGCATAACTTTTGGGGCTGGGTTAAAGGGACACCAAAAAGGACACCACACTATTTGGCGGTTCCCCTATTTTGAGGCACCCCATTTGAGTGTTTCCAATAATTTTCAGTGGATGAGCCCCGAGATTGTATTTGAGTGTATTGTATTTGGACAGTGGGGGGGTTTCATTCCCTGGAGGAATACTCACCTAAAGCGGGTCCCGCTCATTTCGGGAACCCGTTTCTTTTGTGGCGCGTTTGGTGGGTTCTGGTGCTCGTGTGCGTTGCTTGAAGTCGGTGTCCAGTGGCAATTGTTTTGTGTTTTGTGTATACAGGTTCCTTGGTTATTGTGTCATGTGTATTCTCAGGTTGTGGATTTGCATGGCCCTGTGTGGCACATGTTGGCACACCTGATCGTTCACATTAGTACCACTGTCATGCATGCAATATCTGAATGAACTATCCGCGACAGAGAATAAAAGAACGTCTATTCCCGATGGGCATTGGAAGGATGTCCGGGTTCGGGGAACGGCATCTGTGCATTCTGAGGAGGAAGTGGAATGAGAGCTGAAGTGGTACGGGCAGCCTTGTCCGCTTTGTATTGCTCGCAAGATGTCATGGGTGGCCGGCAGCAAATCAGTGAGCCTGTGTTGGGAACACAAGATTGTTGTCCAGCCTTGGTTGACTGCCTTTGGATGAATGGGTAAAAGGAGGACCTGTGTCCCTCGATGGGTTTGGAAGTCCTGTTGATTGCAGGAGACTGGTTTGCATGCCGGTGGAAATATCTGTAGCCACCAGCCCAGGCCAGTCATTTTCTTGATCGCGCTTGCTCAAGATTGTAGAATTTCGCGGTATGTGACCACGGATGGATCTGTCAGTGGCAATTGGGAATACTGCCTTGCGCAATCGCCCATCCCTGCCCCTTCCTCACAGCTTTACATTTTAGTCACGCTTCTCTTGAGATAAAAACGGGGGGTGCGGGGCTCTCAACTGCGAGAACGCCAGGGCACTTCTCTTGAAACACGAGGGCCAGTTCCCAAAGACGTTTGCCAGCCAAATTCGCTGGCGCTCAGTAAGCAAGGGCACCCCTATAAGCCATCCTTCCTTTAAGGCTTTAAGGATACCGCTGGGTTCATTCCCACATTCCCTGAGCGCGGACAGGGCAAGGACACCCTGGTCGGCTCAGTTTCCGGCTCAGGTGGACTTCGCCGAGCTGCAAGCCGGGCGCTTCCCCGAAGACCTGGCAGCGCAGGTCCGGGAACGAGGCACGGAGAGGTGTTCCTTTCGGCCGGGGGTTTCACGGTGTCCAGCAGAAAACGTCGGTTGCTTTGTCTTGTTTTGCACAGATATGAGGCATGAGGGTGGAAAGGTTGTTTTAGGTGTTGGTCTGAATTGCCTCCCAGATCAAGATATTGGGCATCAGTCTGTGGGTGTCCTTTGTGGATATACGGAAGTGTGTTTGTTGTCTGAGGCGCCGTTTTGAGCAGACAAGTGATTCTATACTTGGTCAACGTTTGGCTGTGTGCTTCTGTAACAATCTAGCAAGCATCAGGTTGCTACTCGCCATGTGGAAAGCCCACACCGCCAGCTCGGCAGGCTGCGTGGTGGTGCGGCAGGTGGTATCTGCATCAGAGGCCCTGCAAGCAAAGGCGGCAACGGAGCAGTGCCGCGGAATAAGTTGGAGAGAATCCGCTTGGAAGAGTTGTCACAAGTGGATCTTGTGTTGTGAATCCCATACTTTCATGGTCAGCAGCTTTGCTTGACTCATGATGTTTTGTGCTGGAATTCAAGACACTTGCGTCAACGCGGTAGTGACCATTGCAAGCAAACATGTGGCAGCAGCACATGTGTGTTTGCTCCACACTGCTTGCAGGACAGATGCTGTTTTTTTAGTTAATGTTGCTTCATCCAGTGGTCGATGCCACGGCAAATGCGACAGTTCTTTGAATATATACCCAAGCCTTCTTTTGGCCAAGATTAACTTGGCCAACTCACAAAATTCCAGTAAAACTAGGTCAAACTGTTTTCACGCTTTTTACGGTTTTCAGGGCTTCAGCCAGGCAAGTGTGAAAACCTTTGTGTCAGCGTCGCTTGTGTTTTAGGACTTTGAGACGCCATCTCATGGACTCTAGAGCAATTATAGCCCTGCTCAAAGAGCCTCCAAGTACATGCAAACATTTGCTGCAGAAACAATTTCCTGGCAGGTGTGTGCACATGTATGCTGTAGAAACCTACCCAAAGTTCCCGCGTGCGCGCGGCATCGGCAAATAATGTTTTGCACCACTCCCCCAAGAATACCAAAGTCACATTTGCGTGCACCAAGTGCGCTATAGCTAGCCCAACCTGCCCATCATACGCCCTGTTCTCAGGGATTTCCGCAGGGGGGCATTTCACGGTTTGTTCACGGTTTTACTTGGTCATTCACGGGTATACTTGGTCATTCACGATTTGTTCACGGGTATTTCACGGTTCCATCTTTGCACACAATTCTGCAAACACAATACTTTCAAGACTCCTACATTGGGCAAGACCCTATTGCATAATACGCGTGTTGCTCGAAACGTTTGAGCTAATCCCCTTGCAAAAGTAAAACTGGTCAACATTGAGTAAAACTCGGTCATACCGGTTGAAGTTAACCTTGGTCAAGGAAGGCCAGGGTATATGCACATGCAGCCTGTGAAACGGGATTAGAATTAGCTGACGCATGAGGCGTTCATTGCAGAGTTTTTGCGCGATAGCCAGTTTCCGCATGTCCTTGCTCGTGTTTGAATGTCATTCAAGAAGGCGCACATGTTATCTTGTAATTACATTCTTTTCCGACAGCAAAGTCAAGCGCATGTGTAATTGGTTCGTGTGTATCTACTGATCCCTTTCTTGCCTGCCTTTATCTTCGTTTTCTTTCGAGCATCCGCCAGCTCTCAAAATCCTCATGAACAGGGTCCAGTGATCGTAAGTTTCTTGAACCTGCACTGTGCTTGTTTCTGACAATTGGTGTCTCAATACTCGTGCGTCGCAGAAACTGTGCGTGTTGTGATTGGCAAGGCCAGAGACTTTACCTAGGTGCAGCCTGAGGTTCTTCGGCGGATAGAGCTGTAATCTGCGGCAATTGGAAAGGGCCTGCGATGAGAGTTGTACGAGACTTCCCCAAGTCCCCAAAAAAGATCCATGCAAATTGAGCTAGATGGCTGGAGCAGCCCTATTCGTGAATGAAGGTACATAGCAGCAAACCCGGACAAGATGCTCCTTGGCCGCAAGGGCGGCTGGGTGAAACCGGACAACTAAATCTGTTGGACATGCTGAGGGAGAGGTAGCCGCTGCTCAAATGAGTCTTGGATGAAGGCTCTTATTGGCCCTTGAAGAGCGAAGCATGCGGGGAAAAGCAAACAAGTTTTAGATACTGTTGAAGAACAGATAGCCACTGGACAGCCTAGAGGAGAATTGAAGGCTTGTGGCTTGTGGCCCATGTGTCTACAATAAAAGGGTTTTCACGTAAGGTTGCTATGGTGAAAGCCTGAGAAGACTAGACACTCACAAGGTCCATGCGTTGCTTTTGTTGGCAACATGCCAGGAGGCAGGTCATTTGTTCATACTCTGGACAGATGAGAGCAGTGTATTCCAGCTGTTGAATGCTTTATGAAACTGAGAGTAAAGATGGGAAAGGGCATGGCAGACGCAATTACGTTTTGGTAGCTTGCCTTGTTGAAGCCCTTCACGCGCAAGAGTTGGACCGAAAGCAGCGCCCGGCGCAGCTTTTGGCCTGCTTGCAATTGGCTGGAGGCTGTGAAGTGGAGAAATGAAGCCGTGTCACACTTGTCATATGAACAAACAGATAGCGTCAAGATCAAGAAGTCTCCAGCCGCGTCGTTCAGGCTGGGCTTCCCGAAGACAGCGCCCATGGTGTGGGAGGTCTACTGGGCCAAAGAGCAGCTGTGCCTCGGATGGCACCGCACGGATCCTATATTTTTGTCAGCTGCTGTCAATGGGCTTGAGTGCATGCACTTTTTTTGGCGCGGGGAATTCTTGATTTATAGTCACACAACACATGCGTTCTTGGTGGCTGATTCTGCATGCATGTTCCCCCCCCACGACACACATCTGGAGCTTGCTGGCTGCATAAACATTTTTTGGATGGTGGTTCACTGATGATTTGCCCATCCGCATATAGAGCCCCAAGTGTTTGTGCCTGTCCGAGGAAGATGCGAGGGCATCCCAACATGCTGGCGACGCAAACGGCCCTGAACCGACTTTGGCATTGTGAGAATGGCGCAGCAGCTCGGCTTCCCAATGCTTGCTGATGTGTTGGCAATCTATCTGTTTGCTTTCAATTCTTGGTGGGCCATTTTTTTGAACAGAGGCCACCTCTAACCAGAAATTGGTGATAGTGATGTCGAAGTCAGGCTAAGGCTTGCGCATATGCATCATTGCGCCATGGCTGCTTCAGACTGCCTTATTCACCTGCAGACGAGCTTGAATAGGCCATGTAGTCAGCGCTGACGGGCGCACTTATCCCAGTCAAAAGGAGACAAGCCAGCAAGACGGCTTTACAGCAGGATGTGAGGTTCGCATTGAATTTACGTTACGAAGCCTGGTTTCAAGAAGGACACTATAAGACATATTATACATTTGACATATATATATATATATAATATCTCATATCATTATGCATCATGCAACAGCCCCTTTTCCGGTGACAGCTTTCCCGAGTCGCCGGAGGGTTCGTCAGGTGGATGTGGATCGGCCGCTGACCTACTGCGACCGGCTGCGCATCCGGAAGGCCGCCTGTGCTTTCAAACGAAACCAGGGCGATGGCCATCGCAGTCAGCTCAATGAAGCAGGTTGCAATGGAAAGCAATCCACCATCATTCGGTGATTTTCCGGCTGGCTTTCCCATAAAGAGCAACGTTGCCGGATCGCCAGCATGAAGCCCATGTTTAGTTGGTCCCTGTTTGCCAGAGACGGTATCAAACATGCTTTGTGCCGTTTGTTGCTGTGCTTGCAGCACGATATCGAGCGGACTTTCACCATGCTCAGCTGATTTGCAAAGACATCATGCTGGCTCATTTGCCCTTTACTTGCTGCTCACATTTGTTTTTATTTGTCAAAATGCCCGAGGGGTCTCTACTTGTGAGTCATTGCAACAATGTTTTGGTACGACCATTGGAGACATAGGTTGGATAGGATGATATGACGGAGGCGGCTGTCCATTCCTGAGGGGTTCAATCCTTTTAGGTTCACCTCTGTACGTGGTCACAAGGTGGTTAGATGAAGTTCACTTTAGAAAACCGTCCGTAGAGGTCACTTGCAGACGCTCGAGTCCGCAGACCGGTCGTCTCCAGTGTTCCCTCTCCAGTTTCCCGGAAACTCACCCAACCAAAGAATTGCTTGTCTAAAGAATGGTGACTTGCAAGAACAAGAGCAAGCTTTTTTAAAGAGCCGGGGGGCTCCTTGCTTTAGGTTATAGGTTGCATTGTACGTGTGTGGGCAGGGCCGGTGATTTGCAGAAACAAAATGCAAGTGGTTTGCGTGCCTTGCGTGTTGCGACCCACTTCGCAGGCGGGAGATACTAGCTTCACTCTGGGGCCCCATGTGGATGGCGGCAGCACTGAGCGCTGGGAAGACGAGGAGTACCGCAAGGTCTACAGCATCTCAGCTACATTCAGGGCTCCAGGGCTTGGCAGGGTGCTTTGGGAAGGGTGGATAGGGCATCAGCCAGGTAAAGTTGAAAGGAGGTGAATACAGATGTGCACGAAAGGTTTGGGAAATGACTCGAAATGACTCAAGTTTTGCTGATTTATGCCATGGAGAAGTCCGGGAGAGTGTTGATCTAGTCAATCGCACACACTTACGCAATTGATACCTATGGACCTTGACAGCTTTGCTCCTGCTCTCCCGGCCCTTGAGACAACACACTTCAGCTGGCTTACAGACTACAACCCAATCCCAGCGTACATGTTATGATAATATGACTCACGAGAGCCACTGGGCAAGAATCACTGTCAATATGTTTGCAAGCATTCTCAGAAGATGCTGCGCGTTGTATCCTTGTTTTGAAGAACCTCGGCGCTGTTTGAAAGCCTGGGCCAATTTGGACATCAAAGACCTGGTCAAGGGCATCCACTTTGTGAAAGGAGGGACACTTGAACATGTTGTTTGTATAGCTTGAAACTGTAACCACGAACATCGCCCATTGGCTAGGCCACATCTGGAGCGGTGATTGGGAGAGCTACGATGCCTTCGATGCCACCCACCGGGCAGCGGCGCGCTATGACTTGTGGCTGGGGCAGAAAGGTGGTGCATTTGACTCGGGTTGGACGGACGGATCATATGTCGAAAATTAGTCCAGCAAGATATGACTGTCAATAAACTGGGGAGCATCCAACTTGAAGGAAGGGACAGATGCGACAGCGATGACAAAGCAAGCCCAGCGAAGCGTTGATCGAATTTGTACGTGTTGAGGGAAGGGGAAGCCAAAGACCACCTACCCACGGCTGCTAGTCGGGTTTGACGAAAGAATGCGGCTGAGGTTGGTCCGTTGGTGCAACGTCTGTTAGCGCTGTCATTGCTTCCATCGGCTGAACAATTTGCGGGCACCAGCAACGCGGCTCATGAGCAGCAGCGTCATCAGAAGCGGCATTAACCCTCGTGTTTGGCAGTTTGGGTTTCCCTGCTCGGCAAGTTGCGTGTTGCCAGGATCCATAGACCCCACTAGTAACATGGCCTGTGCTAGCAAGGTACGGCAAGAATTTGGGCGCCTGCGTCTCAGCCGCACATGGCTGACGTGATTGAGTTAGCAGAGAAGAACCTGGATTTACTCGGGCTTCAGACAATAGAAGTTTGGTGTCTCCCTTTTCTCGGCTTGCAGCGATGGTATGGACATTTTAGTGCATGAAAGCTGTTTGGGCGTGCTGTGAACCTGCTTGGCTGGCTGACGGGAGTCCATCGCCTGAATTATAAATTGTTAGATGCTACGTGAACAATGAGGGCAAGCCAGACTCATGGTCAGCCTGAGGGCGACGCCAGCCAAAGACATCGATTTATAGACTCATGGTGTGCTGAAGGTGGTAGAGATTGCCCAATCTATGTTGTCGTCATATTGGGACGGTTTGCTGAGCACAGACAAGCATCAAACTGTTCTTGGCTGTCGTGTGAAAGACTGGTAAACCTGTCATCAGTTTGATCTCATGCAGATTCCTAAAATAATCATATCCACCCGGGGGGGAAAAAACAACAAGAAACAAAAACAGCAACCTCCGGTACCAGCAATCCCATAACATGATTCCCTACCCTCTCTCCAACCATGCAAGCTGACGATCGAAGGGTTTTGGAACTCGAAAGCTTTCCTTTTGGCGACGCCCCCAATCCACTTCCATTGTTTGAAAGAGGGTAAGTTCCAAGGTTTTGTGCACAAGGCCACGAAGAGAGTAGGCTGCACATGGGTTCCATGCAGGAAAAGATATCGCGTTGCTTCGAAGGTATTCTCCTTCGAAGGTACATGGGTGTGTTTTGAGGTACCCCGTTTGCGGTTCCGAAGGGAAACCAAGAGGACACCCTTGCCATTGTTGTTGGTTCCTCTATGAGACAACCCTGTATCCTGATACCAATATTATCCCCAGTCCAGGTGGCACCCAGAGAAATGGTGCCTTTAGAAAACTCGTCCAAGCAACCCCTGGAGGGTACCATATTTTTTTCCGGGGAATCCCCAAAATGGCTTCGGTCTTCCTCTGGGTTTCCCTCAACAAAACAAACACAAAAAAAGGTACCCAATCTCCCACTAACATGGCACCTCAGAAATGGTCCCTATAAGAGGAAATGTATCTTCCAGGTACCCTCCCACAGGTGCTATGTTAGTGGGAGGGTACCAACTTCAAAAAAAGACGGCCCCATACCAAGAGCTCAGGCAGCATCTTCCGGTCCTTCCAGGGCTGGCTGTCACTGAGCCACGCGGGCAGCGGCCGCGGCGCACTGCTCCTGGCGCCGATTCTGCGGGAGGCTTCGCCGTTTGGCCGCCGAAGAATTTCCGACGTGGTATCAGGGTGCCATTTGGCTGTGGGTCAAAACCAATGGTACCATTTTGGGGTAGGTGCACCACCCATTTTAGAACCTATTTTGGTGGGGATTGCGGGATTTTGACCCATGGCCATTTGCCGTGGAGGAGAGAAGAACGGACTCCAACGGAAAATGGCACGGTACCACGTTGCCACGGAAGCTGCCTAAGGGGTTGCGGAAGACTTTTTGCAAGAGCAAAATCCCGATTTTGACGGGGGTGCCCTATTTTGACGCATGCCCAAGTGTGCCGGGTCAAAACTCCTATTGCCTATGGTCATGGTTCCCTTCACAGGAATCAGTATGGTTCTTAAGCATCCTTACCAGTTGGACAACTATCCCTGTTAACCCAGTAGGGAATGACCATTCCAGATGTTCGGAATGAACCGTTTGGGGATTCCCTTCAAGGAAACGATTGTTTATAGGGGTCATTCCCTCATTCCCCGCTGAGCACCAGCATGCAGAATGGCACCATGGTACCACGTTGCCATGGAAGCTGACGTTTCGGGGTCCTGGACCTTTCAACCTCGTGCGTTTTTTTCCACGCCCTCTGAACAGAGTCTGGCTTCTTGACCACACAAATGTGTAGTGTGAGGCTTTTGATGGCAGCCGGCACTGAATGAAATGTATTCGCCTCGAGGCGGTTAGTAGGGTACATTGGGGTACCAGGCGGTTCTGCTATGCTCCTGGTCCAATGGGGTCTGACAATTTTCGGGCCCGAAAAGCGTTCAAAATTGAAATTCCAAGCAAGGATATAGAGACAGCAGAAATCTCTGTCATTTGTTGGTTTCGAGTCGTGTGTTTTTTTTTTTTTTTTTTTTTTTTTAAGAGTGTACATAGGATGCATTGATTAATAGGGGGAAGGGAGAATTGGGGCTTTATACCCAAAGAATTGTAAACGCTTCGCGTTGCCCGCCTCGGCCCAGCCTAGTTTGAGGGAAGGGTCAGGAACACCGAAATCCAGTGTTGGGAAGGTCCGAATCCTACCGAAAGCTTGTGACCGCACCAGTTCGCCCGTGCTAGTTCGATGTTCGGAAGCCGTCCTGCTCGGAAGGTTTGAAATCCAAAACCAAGACTGTCAGCCTGGGCTGAGCTTGGGCAGCCGGACTGGGGGGCTGGGGCACGTCAGACAGGCTTAGTAGCTGGCGTAGCTTGAGACCAGTCTCAGACACGTGAGACTGGTCGTTGGCCTCAGTCTCAGACACGTTAGACAAACCTGACCTTGGCACGCTGGGCTGAGCCTGCTGGTGCGCTGGGAGCTGGGGGCCGGCCTAGTGGCTGGCAGAGGGACTGGGCCTGAGCATACTTTGAGACCAGTCTCAGACTGCGCCGAAGGGGCTGAGGCTGCTGGATGACTTGGGGCCAGGGCACGTCAGACAGGCTTAATAGCTTGAGACCAGTCTCAGACACGTGTTGGCCTGAGGCCTGACCTTGGCACACTGACGTTGGGCTGAGCTGGGAGCTGGGGGCCGGCCTAGTGGCTGGCATGCCTGAGATAGTCTCTTTTCAGACTGCGCTGAAGGGGCTGGGCCTGCTGGATGACTTGTGGGGCACGTCAGACAGGCTTAGTAGCTGGCGTAGCTTGAGACCAGTCTCGGACACGTGAGACTGGTTGTTGGCCTGAGGCCAGTCTCAGACACGTTAGACAAACCTGACCTTGGCACGCTGGGCTGGATGACTTGGGGCCGTGCTTGGGCGGGTTGCTGGTTGGGCTAGCCTGTTTCAGACAAGCGGGCTGGGCTGACAGGCCTGGCCAGCAGGCGGGTTGCTGGTGGGGCTGGGCCTGAGCCTAGTCTCAGACACGTCAGACAGGCCTGGCCAGCAGGAGGTCATGCTTTGCAGGACAAAAAAGCAATTGTCAGCATTTTCAACAAAAATGGATGCGCCGACGACCCGAAAATTTCAAGGCCCGCCGGACAGGATTTTCTCTTTGGAGAAGAGATCTGAGCGCCCTTGGCCCCTTTGGGGCCGAGGCGAATTGAAAGATTGTTCCGCATTGTTCCCCAGAGCAGGCCGAAAATTGATCTCGTTCTTCCTGACCTTGCCCTACCTCTTGCGCCTTTCTCGCGCTTTTCTTCTTGCGCACATGTGTTCAGCCTTTTTTTGGTGGCAGTATCGGCCCTTTTGTGGTCGACGGGCAGGTAAGCATCTAGCTTTGTTGAGTTTGGGAAGATCCTGGAACCGAAAGTACGCCTGGGGAAACTGCTCTTCTGGAGCTTCCATTGATGTGTGTGTGTGTGTGTGTGTTGGTTTTGTGTGTGTGTGTGTTGTGTGTTGTGTGCTGTGTGTGTGTGCGTATGTTGTGTGTTGCGTGGCGTGGTGTGTGTGTGTGTGTGGTGTGTTATGGGTCGTGTGTGGTGTGTTGTATGTGTGTGTGTGTGGGTGTTGGTTTTGTGTGTGTGTTGGTTTTGTGTGTGTGTTGTGTGTTGTGTGCTGTGTGTGTGCGTATGTTGTGTGTTGCGTGGCGTGGTGTGTGTGTGGTGTGTTATGGGTCGTGTGTGGTGTGTTGTATGTGTGTGTGGGTGTTTTTGTGTGTGTGTGTGTTGGTTTGTGTGTGTGTGTTGTGTGTTGTGTGCTGTGTGTGTGTGTGCGTATGTTGTGTGTTGCGTGGCGTGGTGTGTGTGTGTGGTGTGTTATGGGTCGTGTGTGGTGTGTTGTATGTGTGTGTGTGGGTGTTGGTTTTGTGTGTGTGTTGGTTTTGTGTGTGTGTGTTGTGTGTTGTGTGCTGTGTGTGTGTGCGTATGTTGTGTGTTGCGTGGCGTGGTGTGTGTGTGGTGTGTTATGGGTCGTGTGTGTGTGTGTGTTTGTTTGTGTGTGTGAGGTGTTGGTTTTGTGTGTGTGTTGGTTTTGTGTGTGTGTTGTGTGTTGTGTGCTGTGTGTGTGTGTGTGCGTATGTTGTGTGTTGCGTGGCGTGGTGTGTGTGTGTGGTGTGTTATGGGTCGTCTGTGGTGTGTTGTATGTGTGTGTGTGTGGGTGTTGGTTTTGTGTGTGTGTTGGTTTTGTGTGTGTGTGTGTGTTGTGTGTTGTGTGCTGTGTGTGTGTGCGTATGTTGTGTGTTGCGTGGCGTGGTGTGTGTGGTGTGTTATGAGTCGTCTGTGGTGTGTTGTATGTGTGTGTGGGTGTTGGTTTTGTGTGTGTGTGTTGGTTTTGTGTGTGTGTGTTGGTTTTGTGTGTGTGTGTGTGTTGTGTTGTGTGTCTATGCGTATGTTTGTGTTTGTGTGTTTGTTGGGTTGGCTGGTTGATTGGTTGGTTTGTTTGTTGATTGGTTGGTTGGGTGGTTTGTTGGCAGCCGTTGGTTGGTTGGCAACCATTGGTTGGTTGGCAACCATTGGTTGGTTGGCAACCATTGGTTGGTTGGCAACCATTTGGCAACTATTGGCTGTTTGGTTCATTGGTTCATTGGTTGGTCGGTTGGTCGGTTGGTCGGTTGGTTGGTTGGTTGGTTGGTTGGTTGGTTGGCAACAAATGGTTTTTCTTGGTTTTTTGGTTTGGCTTAGTGCGGCTATTTGTTAGTTGGTGTGTTGGCTTGCTTGCTTGCTTGCTTGCTTGCTTGCTTGCTTGCTTGCTTGCTTGCTTGCTTGTTTGATTGATTGTTTGTTTGTTTGTTTGTTTGTTTGTTTGTTTGTTCATTTGCTTGTTTGTTTGTTTGTGTGTTTGTTGGTTGGTTGGTTGGTTGGTTGGTTGGTTGGTTGTTTTGTTGGTTGGTTGGTTGGTTTGTTTGTTTGTTTGTTTGTTTGTTTGTTTCTTTGTTTTTCATTGTTACCTTGTTTGTTCGTTTGTTTGTTCATTTGTTCTGTGTGTGTGTCTGTCATGTCGGGCCACTCGTCAGAGCTAAACAATCGCACCGGTGACAAAGCCAAAGCGCACATTTGGCAAAGCGCCAGACACACATCCAATTTCCATCTTGCTGTGCACGCACAAAGGAGGGTGGGGGCGGGGGGGGCAACATCCAGTTCTCGTTGCCGGAGGCCACTGCCTTCCTGCTGCTGCGGCCATTTCTGGAAGCGTGGGCCTCTGCCGACTAGCGATGGCAAAACTCGCCGAAACCCGCCCAAGGATGTGCCGGCCTCGAGCTTCTGCGGCGCAAACCCGGGAAAGGTGCAGGCGCGGTCAAATCTCAAGCCGCTTCTATGCCGCCCGCAGTGGCAGAATGTGGCGAGTATAGAGATGCAAGTAATGCAACACGCCCAGAACCTAAGCAATTCCTGTGGCGATTGATCAGTATTGTACGCAGACTGCTTAAAAGATGTCACCACCTGGGAGGTGGTTTGATGATGAAGGTCAAGGTGAGAGTTTGTAGGAGCATCGACCGTCCCGAGAATACTTGGCAGTTGCGAAGCGCACGCCCATCCTGAAACATTGAACAGGAGGTCGCTTCTCAGCTATCGATGTTAAGACAAGCCGATGTGTGCTTTCCAGGATTTGTTCCCGGAGTTCCACCAGGAGCTTATCGACTGCCTGGTTCCCATTCCGGACGTTCAGCCAGGCCGGCAGTAGCACACAAAAATGGATTTTGAAATCACATGGGCTACTACAAAATCCAAATTCAACATCCATTCTTACTTTTTGCGGGATAATTGAGACAACACATCTGTTCCGTATAATATGCTTGAGGAATCCTGTTCAGAATGTTTTGGCCAATGGTGCAGTCGCTCAAGTCAAACTTGTTGCAATGTTGGCCAATATGCGACGCTCTAGTGCCAGCGGCTTGCTTATGCTTCGATACCTCGACGCCAACCCTATTTCTTTGGATGGTTTCAGCTGGCTGTTTGTTGAGGACGGGTTGTTGCGGTGGCTGGGTTTTCGTTGTGCGGAACCGCCGTATTTGAAGCAGCGAACAGTCTAAGCTAAGTCAGCGAGGCGATACCGTGTGGTGGCACTGCGACCTGATCCACGCGGTAGAGGGCACTCACGGAGGAACAGAGGATGCAGCAGATTCTCGGTGTGGGAATTTGGATACGCGCTCTCCGAATGCTGTTCTGTTGGTTTCATGTTGAAACCATCCCAAGTGAGGCCCACTTTATGCACTCGACCTGCATCCATGTTATGCTTATGTCCTGAAACTTACCGCATACTTTGCGGGCGGGATTCAGCCTCGTTGCGTCATCTTGTGTGCATAAAAGCGACCCCTGACCCGTCGAACAAGCCCAAGTAGTGAGCCTCAGGGACGTGGGTCCATCATGTTGGCTGCCGAACGTCAAGTCAGTTTTTCTGTAATGTTGACCCCATATTAATCAATACTTTTCGAGGGGAACCCCCCCACAAATAAACTGGGGTTCAACATCAACTTGAGAACCCACCATGGGGCCGTCTTCTGGTTTCTTTTGGCATGGAGAGTCGGCTCGTGCCACTTATATATGGTTCGTGCCACTTCTCACATGCGCTGAGGTGTTCTACATCCCGGCGGTGCCCTTTAGTGAGAAGAATGCTGACTATGTGAGAACCCAGGCCAGCTGTTCTTCATTGGGTTCTTTGCCCCCGGCGCGTTGCCCGTTACATACCTTAATGAGGGGTTGAGCTTTTTGTGGTCTAACTCTAACCAAAAGGGATGCTTTGAGAAGTCCCAAGCTGCCGAATGGCTGGAGAATGATCATCAGTCATCATTAAGATGCTGGCTTGTTGTGAGCCGGTTTTCCAGGTCCAATGACAAAGAAGGTTGAGACTTCATGCGGGCTTGTGTTGAACTGTATGAGTTGTAAGAGAAGTTGATGTTGGCTTTGGCTAAGCACATTCAGAGATTGATGCAACATTGCAGCCACTACTCGCTACTTGATAGCCTTCAGGGCTCCTTTTGTGCCCGGGACCAAAATTGCTGCACTATGTTGCTTAAAAATGGGGCTGCACACTGGAGGTGCCATGATGTCAGCAAGAAGTGGGGCAGAGTTGCGTTTTCCCGAAAGCATGGCGAAGGGTTCTTCCGCTGGGTTAGCTTGAGCTGTTCTCATGAGAGTCATTGCAAGGAGTCATTGCAAGGAATCATCATCATGAAAGTCAGTGCAAGGTGTCATTGCAACGAATCATCATCATGAAAGTTATTGCAAGGAGTCATTGCAAGGAGTCATGAGAGTCATTGCAAGTTGCAAGGAGCCAAGTGCATGGAGTCAAGTGCAAGTTGCAAGTGCACGGAGTTAAGTACAAGTTGCAAGTGCAAGGAGTCAAGTGCAAGTTGCAAGTGCATGGAGTCAAGTGCAACTTGCAAGTGCACGGAGTTAAGTACAAGTTGCAAGTGCAAGGAGTCAAGTGCAAGGAGTCAAGTGCAATTGACTTGCGAGGAGTTAAAATCTCTTCTTAGGGGGCGGGACCCTCTGCGGGGATGGGCGTGGGCGAGGTCAAAAACTCGAGGTTTTTTGCAATTTTGCTTGGGCTCGCGCGACCCTCTGCAAAAATCGGCGTAATCAAGGTGCAAAAACTCCAGGTTTTTTGCAACTTTTGTTGTTCGAGCTGGTCCTCGGGAGTTGTCTCGTGGTTCGCGCGCCTGCTCCCGGGACCGGCGGGTCGCGGGTTCGATTCCCCCCTGGTCCGCGGGCGGGCTTCGCAAGCTGCACGGAGCAACTTGCATAAAGCAGCTTGCGCAGAGCAACTTGCGCAGAGCAAGATGCACAGACCAGTTTGCGCAGAGCAACTTGCACAGACCAGTTTGCGCAGAGCGCCTTGCCTAGAGCAACTTGCGCAGAGCAACTTACGCAGAGCAACTTGCACAGAGCAACTTGCACAGAGCAGCTTGCACAGACCAACTTGCAGGGAGCAACTTGCACGGAGCAACTACAGATACATTTGCACAGAGTCAGTTGCACAGAGCTTCCTGCACAGAGCAACTTGCACAAAGCAACTTGCGCAGAGCAACTTGCACGGAGCAACTTGCACAGAGCAGCTTGCACAGAGCAATTTGCGCAGAGCAAGTTTGACAGAGCAACTTGCGCAGAGCAACTTGCGCAGAGCAACTTGCGCAGAGCAACTTGCACAGAGCAACTTGCACAGAGCAACTTGCACAGATACATTTGCACAGAGACATTTGCACAGAGCTTCTTGCACAGAGCAGCTTGCACAAAGCAACTTGCGCAGAGCAACTTGCACAGAGCAACTTGCACAGAGCAACTTGCACAGAGCAGCGTGCACAGAGCAACTTGCAGGGAGCAACTTGCACGGAGCAACTTGCACGGAGCAACTTGCACGGAGCAACTTGCACAGAGCAACTTGCACAGAGCAACTTGCGCAGAGCAACTTGCACAGAGCAACTTGCGCAGAGCAACTTGCGCAGAGCAACTTGCGCAGAGCAACTTGCGCAGAACAACTTGCACAGAGCAACTTGCACAGAGACATTTGCACAGAGTCAGTTGCGCAGAGCTTCTTGCACAGAGCAGCTTGCACAAAGCAACTTGCGCAGAGCAATTTGCGCAGAGCAACTTGCACAGAGCAACTTGCACAGAGCAGCGTGCGCAGAGCAACTTGCAGGGAGCAACTTGCACGGAGCAACTTGCACGGAGCAACTTGCACAGAGCAACTTGCACAGAGCAACTTGCGCAGAGCAACTTGCACAGAGCAACTTGCGCAGAGCAACTTGCGCAGAGCAACTTGCGCAGACCAGTTTGCGCAAAGCACCTTGCCCAGAGCAACTTGCGCAGAATGGCCACGGGGCTGTGATGCTTTCGGGCCAACCTTGGTCTAGTTTTGTTCAGCCTGTCATGGGATATGGATGTTGTTCAGGACAAGGAGACTCCAAAATGAACGTTTCATCTTTGGTCCCTCTAACGTAGCCTAAACAGGAGCAACCTCAAAACAGATGCTGCGTATGCGTGTATCCTGGTCCCAGCGTGCATAGAGTCCGTTTGGTTGAGAGTCATAGGAGGCCTACAGGCCCGATGTGTTTGAAGCGATGTTGCCTTGAGATCCAACAACGCGACTGTCCCAATTTGCCTGTGCCTGGCCTTGCAATGTTCGCACTGGACCAGAAATGGTGCTGATGAACGGCGCACTTAGTCAAATAGGTGGAAGAATGTTATGCGTCTCACGAATGAGTCTATGTGCACTCGGCACGTTTGAATTGTTTGGCAGGCAGAGGCCCTGCGGCTGGGCCGCACACCTCCGGACTTCCCGCCCAACCACTGCGAGGCGCTCCTACCGGAACCGGCTCGAAGGTCTGAACTGGGAAATCATAAACTGGCCCGGGCTGTCCCGATAAGGGGCATATACTTCTTGAGAGGGGCATCAGCAAGGCTTTTGGGGTCATTTACCCCAGTTCTGATATTTTGTGGCACAGGTGGGTGAAGAGATGTGATTAGTCAAGCGCTTGACTTAAGGCATGTGGCTGGCAAGGAGCCTGGTGAGACGCGGAGTAGATGTGCTCAGCCAACACGACATGGTGAACAGGCTTGGTTCTTGACCAGTCAAGCGCGTACCTTGTAGCATTGTAGTAGAAGGTTTGCTTTGTGAATCCCGCAGCTGTGCCAACTGGCGTATGCATTGAGTGTGACTCAAGCCTGGCAAACGCTGTCTTGGTGCTATCATTTCTCTCCCATCAGGTTGACTTGCACTGCATGTGGTCACGTCGATGTTTCGCTTGAATCAAAAGGCGGAAGCCTCTGACCCGCGAGGTGGACTGCGTAGACCGAGGTGTAGAGGAGGACCTGAGCGCTGCCGGACTGCAGGCAATGGCCCTACCGGATCTTTTGGATTGAGCCATGAGATGTGGCTTCTCAGATAGCTTAAGCTCAGCTGAGATGACATGCTGTACAGTGAGACATCTCTGGCGCTGGCTGCTCGGGCTGAAGTTTTGGCATAAGCCAAATGGTTCACGAGAGCATTTTGTACCATTTGGTCTGCAGGAGCGCGCGGGCGCATGCGAAGGCAAAGTGGCGCCGCGCAAAGCGTAGAGGCTCTTTGTGTGTATGTGTGTGTGAGTGACTTGGTTTTTCTCCTCTTCGAGGGACATTGTACTTAGAAAGTGGGTAATAACCATGGATATAGCCCACTTACCATGGGTATAAGTCTCCTAAGTCGGTTATAACCAGGCTTACTGACCACATAGTAAGTACCCTGCCCCTTTAAAGTGGGGCACTGCATTCGTCTGTGTTCATGAGCTGTGTCTCCTCCGATCCTCAAACGATTTCACAGGCCCAGGTCCACGAATAGCTTTCCAGCGCAAGCCCTGAGCCATGTGCCAATAACGGTTTGATGGGATCGCCGTTGGCTACGTTAATACGCCCATGAGTCATGGCCTTAGCCCGAACCCAGGCCAACTCACCAGATGGTTGTGCCTTGTATTGTATTGTATTGGTTGGGTCGTGTTTTGTTGTTTGTTGCGCAGTGCCGTGTTGTGTTGTGATGTGCTTTGTTTTGCTTGTTTGCCCTTTTGTTTGTTTGCTTGCTTCTCCGCTTGTTTCTGTGCCTGGTAGTATGTTGCGTTCCGTGCTTTGTGTGTGTTGAGTCTGTGCTTGTTTGCGTGTTGTTCTGTGCTATGCACTCTATTTCTGCATATTATGTGTGTTTGCGTGTTTGCGTGTTGGTCCAGCCGTTTTCATACGTCGTGCCAGGATCGGGCCCTTTACCACGACCCCCTGCTGGTTTCCCATGCGCAGCATTTACAGGCGGTCAAGGCCCAACTCGCGTAGCTCAGGTATCCCTTTGATGGTTTGGGAATTTGAACCTCTGGTTTTTGTAGAGTGTCATGGGGAAACCATCTCCAACCACCAAACCACCAAACCACCAAACCACCAAACCACCAAACCACCAGTTGGGGGTAAGGTGAGTCGTGTTTTAGCGAGCCACGCCGCATCGAGCTGAGTTAGCTCCCAAAGAAGCCGGCATGTTTTTGGGCAAATTGTGACGTCACCCGGGGTTTGCCAGTTGGATGCACCTCTGTTGTCGTTCGACTGCATCTCAACTAAATTGTCCATGGATTTTGCGGTTGGCAACATCATTGTACTTGGGCCAGTACGAGTGGAGCATGCACGGAACACAATCAGAACTGCCACTTTTTCCGTGAGGGTCTACTCATTGTTTTGAGCGTACTCATCTGCCAATATGAGACACTGAGCCATGGGCGGCATTTCCAGTCATGGCATGCAGACATTGCATAGAATGCACTGAGCAGGCTTCAGTTGAGAATCTTGATACCTCAAGTTTGTTTGTGGCCGGGTATGGTACCTCCCTGGAAACCATCCATTGATAGGAAGGCACTTTGGATTTTGGGCGTCAACAGGGTGAAGCTATAGAGCCACTTGATGCTACCGTAGTACTCGTTCTTGCCTGGTCTCTTGGCAACATTGGCCCTGAAATTAAACGGTGCTTTGCACTGCGCGGGTGCCACATGCGGCCGAAGGCGTACCTGGACCACTGCGATCGCTGGATACCTGGCCCTCTTGGACCTTTTTGGGCCGTTGGGCCCGCCTGGTGAACCTCCACGTTGCGGGAAGATCATTTTGAAGTGCGGAAATGCAGCGAATTCGTGTTTTGACATCACTTAACCTTTCAGATTTACATGCTCGTGCTTGAGGCTGCTTGCAACTTGACGTTGGAGTGAGCAGCAATGATGAGTGCACGCTTCGTTTTGCAAGGCATGACTTGCCAAACCAGTCCCCTGCCGTCATGACTCTTTCTACCTGAAACTCAGAGAACCAAAGACACTTGTCACAGGGATCCCTCAACTTCCCTTTTATTGGCCCCCTAAAGTGGAGATGTCAATGGAACTCTCCAGTAAATTGCAAGTATTCAAGGGTAAATCCAGTGATCCGTGTGTCAGAACGATCCACATTTGTAGCCTCGCTTCGTTTGAGGTGAACATCTAGAAGTCCGGGCGGCATCGTGTGGGACTCATTTGCGCCACAGATTTGGGAGAGCCCGAGCTCCAATCAAACTGTGGGAATTGAAGGCTAGCAGGGGGACCCAGCCAGAAGCAAGTACACAAGTTTTTGGGAAAACTCCTTAAGTATCATATTCAATTATGCCTCACCTTCGAATGGAAGCAAGGTAGCAAGGAGCATCCAAACACTTTCAACTGGCGAGCATGTGCGCCTATGGGCCAGATGTGCACGACGCTGCGTTTCCTGACAGCATTGTTGCTTGACGAGGCAGATGTTACAAGAAATTTGTGCGTGCTCACTATGAACCTACACGGACGACCTTAGCGCTGGAGCTCCAAGCACTATTAGCATTATTATTCTAAGCATAAGGGAGGTGTGAATATATACATATATACATACTATGATTGATTATTATTTATTATGTATGATTATTATGGTTATTATGACGATTTATTTATTATTGTTACTATTATTATTACAAATATTTGGCCTTGAGACCAACAATTCAGGATCAGCCCATTTCGAAGCAACTTGACCGTTTCATTTCGTCATTCTCCCAATCGGATTTCTTCTCTCGCCCGCATTGTTTGCGGGCGAAAAAGGCGTTGCCGTCACTCAGGAAGCGCAGCTCCGAGGCGCCGGGCTGGCTGTGAGTGTCAAAGTGTTGATCCCGAAATGGACACTCGGTGGGGATTCTAAAGGCTGATTGTATAGGTCCTTTTTTTTTGAATCCATGACCGTTTTGGACCCCAAAGGAGGGATGATGTCCCATGATTTAAGGCAGAACTAACGGTTAATTGACCCACTAGGGGTGCATACCAGAGGTTCCTGTGTGGGGTCTTCATTCAGCCTTAGAGGGGGCATGTCCACCAATCACTTTGAGGTTCCTCAGCAATTGCCATGTGGAGAACGACAACCTAGATAGAAGTCGACTTTGCCAGGTTTGTGCGCACTGCTCATGGCTTCATAATCCATGGAATCAATGAATCCATCCAATCGAAGGACCCGCAGTCGCAGCTAGACAAGACGCAGAGGCAGTTGGAGGAAGAGGACCCGCATGGAGTGCAGGGAGGCAAAGCCTCTTGAGTTTTTCATTAGCTGCAGCGGTTGGTGTTGTACAGCAAGACCTTGCCACAAACAACACGCGTGTCGTCCGAAGCACATGTATGACTTGGCTGCCGAGCGTCCTATGCCTGTGGGGAGTGCTTGTCTTATCCATCAGGGATCATCTGTTTCAAGTTGGTATGTCTGTTTATTCACCCTGGGCGCAAATGTTGAAGGCCCAGATGCCGTTTCTATATGCTGAGCATCTACGCCATGAGGCCATGAAGCGCACATTGCATTGGTAGCTTCAACACGAGTAGCGCCAGACTGCTTTCCATTGTGACGTGTGAGTAATCATGTCACTTGGCTCGCGCGTTAAGCGACTCTCAGGTGTAAATGTACGTACTGCAAGCTGCAGATCAGGCAAAGACACCTTAATTCGCCGCCAGGAGACCAGACTTAGAGTACAACTTGACAACATTACAGAGGAGGCGGAATGGAGCGCCGTCGTAATTACATCGGCCGGATGTTGATGCACATACCCTGTTGCCCCAAGTGATTGGGCTGTGCAGGATTTGTGTCAGCAATGTCGAAGCAGATAAATCACGCTAGGTATGAACAAGTGCGTGATCTTGATTCATGGGGTGCATATGCAAGATACACCGAAGGCACGCCGTAGGTGCTTGTGTGCCTCGGCAATATCGACTTGGTGTGCTCCTTTTATGATCGGATGCATGTGGCGGCACTGGAGTTTGCCACAACTACGACCAAGTGTTTGTTGCTTCGCAGTTGATTCTCTTTGGCGTACATAGAATTCAGCAAGGGTCCCAGTGTCCTTGATTGTGGCCCCCTCCTCGACGAAATGACGGCGGGTTGGCGCTTTTGAAGGCGAATCGCCGCATCGAGAAGGGCAACGAGCACATCTTGAAGCTCACCGCCGCGAGCTTTACATCCCCACAGTCGCCATAGGGACTGCAGAGGCACTTGGGCCTTTTGTTGTTCCCCTGACAGTGAGCGCGTCCTTGTAGGCTATGTTTGATCACCCCACTAGATGCCATCGGCTTGCTTCACCCGTTTTGGCAAGTCGGTTTGGATTTGCTGGTCATGCTTAGGCCCAGCTCAAGGATCTTCAAGAGAAAGAGGCAGGGCCCCGGTTGGGGCGAGTGCCACTGTTCTGGGCCGCTTTTGCACCGGCAATTCCGTGTTTGTTGTTTTTGTGCCAGGAGCCTCATCTCGGATTTGTTTTTGTCCTACCTAGTTGCCGTAGTTTGCCGCAACATGTCCACAAAGCAACGCAGTTTCAGAATCAGGGCTGAGGCCCTGCTCGATGAATTGCGATAAAGCAAATTACAGGCTGCACATTTCTGGCCACAGCTTTTCTTGCAGCGCGCCTGTTTTGGCGGGCAACGCTGACATGGACGTGAGTGCTGCAAAAGACAACATTGTCGTTGAGATTCTGAGATCAAAATACCAGATAGCTTTATGCTTTCACCCGATGCGGAGTCCGCCGTCACGAGCCCCATGTCAGGAGTGTCAGGGAAGGCTGTTGTCCTTTAGGGCATGGTCCTTCTGCCTCCAAAGCAATGATCGCATGGGAGGTGTCCGTCCAATCAACATGGCATGTGCCATGACGCGGAATGTGCGGCAGCAAATTGATCCAACCCTTGCAAGACTCTGATCATTCTCCTTTCGCTGGAACTGCACCTCCCGTTTGAGGATGGAAAAGTGGCCGTGCCAGGAACCCGAGCTAGAGCAGCAGCGGCAGGAAGCCCTGGCGGCCCTGCAGCGGCAGAGGCAAGGAAAGTGGTTTTCTTGGTGTGGGATATGGTGGGTTTTCAAAAATAAGGACCCCCTTGTCGGACCCCTCTCAAAGGCGGGCGCGACATAAACCATGGCCCAAAAAGGGCAGTCAGTTATGACAACCCCCCCCATGTTGGCATGGCAAATGGGCTGGGACCGGTTGAGGGGACTCTGATTCGGGAACGGTTTGTCTGGACTGCGGCGCAGCTGCCAGATTGGGATTGAAACCAAATCGCTCAGGGACAGAGCAAGGCCAGTCATGCGTCAAGAGCAACGATATTTAATGGCCTGCGGCCTGGTTCCGCCGCCCCCACACACCTTAGAATTTCGGCCCGGGACGAGAGAAAGCACGCGATATGTAGACAGACACAGACAGACACAAAGACACGCAGACAGACACGCAGCGGGGGGGGAGGGTCTTCGCGGACACGAAGACAGACGCAGATGCGCAGGCAGACGCAGACAGAGCCAGACAGACACAAATACACAGACAGACACGCGGGGGGGGGGGGGACACGAAGAAAGACGCAGATACGTAGACAGACACAGACAGACACAGACAGACACAAAGAGACAGAGACAGACACGCAAGGGGTCTTCGCGGACACGAAGACAGACGCAGACAGACCCAGACAGACACAAAGAGACACAGACAGACACGCAGGGGCAGGGGGGGTCTTCGCGGACACGAAGACAGATGCAGATACGTAGACAGACATAGACAGACACAGGGGGGGGCGGAGGGGTGGGGGAAGACTACCCGAAGCCTAGGGAAGAAGCCCGAAAGCACAGGACACGCGCGTTGTTTGGTCCCGAAACAGTATCGGAAGACTAGGAGAAGAAGCCGGAAGATTACGGAAGACTACGGGAAGAAGCCGAAAGATTGCGGAAATTTACGGGAAGAAGCTTGAAAGATTTCGGAAGACTACGGGAAGAAGCCGGAAGACTACGGAAGACTACGGAAGACTACGGGGAAGAAGCCGGAAGACTACGAAAGACTACTGGAAGAAGCCGAAAGATTACGGAAGATTACGGGAAGAAGGCGGAAGACCACGGAAGACTACGGGAAGAAGCCGGAAGACTACGGAAGACTACGGGAAGAAGCCGAAAGATTACGGAAGATTACTGGGAGAAGCCGGAAAACAACGGAAGACCACGGGAAGAAGCCGGAAGACTACGGAAGACTATGGGGGGGAGGGGGAAGGGGGGAGGGGGGGGGGGAAGGGGGGTACAAGGCTACGGCGGTAACCCGCTTGTTGAGGACGCCGAGGTGGTCGTCAGGGGGGGAGGGGGGGGGGGGGAGGGGGGGGGGAGGGGGTGGGGAGGGGGGGAGATCCAGAAATCCAGAGATCCAGAAATCCAGAAATCCAGAAATCCAGCCGACGTAGAAACCAGCCCCAAGGGCCGCCCCCAGGGACATATAGGTTATATATATATAAATATATATCTACATAATCCTATTCACATTAAACTTATAGAAAGCATATCAACAAAAGCAACACAGAACACACCGCCCCCATGCCGAAAGCATGGTCCATTCTGGACCAGGCATGGGGTCGGCGGATTTGCCGCAGCAAGCATCGCAATGTTGCTACCTGGCTCCAGCCAAATGCCAAGCAAGCCCTCACGTCTGCCGAGTTCTGCTGGAGCGGGACTAGCAGCTTGATCGTTCCGAGTAGGTCACATGCGTATTCAGGATTATTCAAGCACCTTGGTTCATCTCAACTGAGACGCGCTTTGTGCTGAGTTTGCGAGCGGAGTTTCTCCCCTTTTGGACTGCAAAAATGTTAGCCCTTGGGGCCTCGGCAGGCAGAAGGCCAAGGAAGTGCAAAAGCAGGCAGAAGGCCTTGGGTGGGGGATTTGGATATGCTTAGGACCGAGTTAACAGTGGTTTTTCTTGTTGCAGTGTTGCTGAAATTAGAGATAATTAGTGAAAGGATCACAGTGTTGCTCAAATGTTCGTGTTAAGGACTGATCAATAACATTAGAGTTGCTGGAAGTGGCATCTAGTCTAATCAGTTAAACTGATTCAATTGTGTTTCAGCTGTTTGTTAACCTAGCCTTGCTGTTCTAGCAGGTTGAAGATATCACATAGTCTCGGATGTGCAAGTTCAGCTCACATGCAACACTGGTAAGATC